AAAAAAAAAAAAAAAAAAAAAAGAATATTTCTTAGTCCTGTGCTAGTATAATGCTCTTACTGGCACCAAGATTTAGAGTGAGCCTCCGTTCAGTCCTAGAAAGGCATGCCAATGCATCTGGTATTGGTAAGGAACGGGCCAAGGACCACCTGGGTGAGCCATGCACCCTGCGCTGATTTCAGCCTAAAGGTTCTGATTTCAAGAATGGATAATTTACTTCTATCTAGTTTCTTGTTCCTTTGTTTCACTTTATTTAAATGCACATCGTGCACTTTTCTAAATGTAAGAGTTGAAGCTTTTAGGAATGCCTTTCTTTTCGTCATAAAATATTAATAGCATTTATTGAGTGGCTTTGTAAAGCCCTCTTAAAGCTCCTGGAATTATAGACCCCGTTCCCTTTCGTCCTCAGAACTCTGTGAGATGGACATGATCATTATGCCCATTTTAAAGACCAAAGAAATGAAGTCTTAGAGTGATTAAAAGAGAGGAAACCACTTGCCTCCAACTGTGGCACAGAACACGTTGTGAGTGGGTTAACTGTGAGCTGGGGTCCGGAGCCTCTGCCCTTTACACACACGCCACACCCTGCTGCACTTCAGTTCTGTGCTCGCTGCGAGCATTTCCGAGAGTTTTCACTGTCTTCTAAGAACCCCTTGTCTCTCATGGCACTTAGACCTCACAAAAAGCCTGTGAGACAGTGTGTTGGTCAGAGACTGACCAGGAATGGACACCACTCTAAGCGGCTGAGGCAGGAAGGTGTTTGGCACAAGGGAACAGTGTACACAGTCCTCAGCCTGGCGACGGCTGCCCATTGGGAGCATCTTCCCTCGAGTTCCGCAATGGACATCGCAGGAGTCGTACCAGCCACTGACGAACATCTTCCTAACCTGCGGTGCTTGGATGACTGATCGCAGGAGAGGGGTTCCCGCTTTGCTTTCAACGCTTGAGTGTCATTCAAGCCTCTTTCACCAGATTTCAAACCCAAAGCCAGCTGGAAGGGAGCATGGAAAAGACCGTTTTCAGACTTCCAACTCTTGTACAACAAAAGGATAGGGAAGATGCTGGATGTGATACCAGGCCTACACGGTGATACCAGGCACACACGGACGTTGCGGCGATGCCTGTTTTACATCGGGGGAAGCTGTGCCCGCACTCGGGGACTCCACAGCCAGAGCTGCCCGAGTCTACATACCCTTGCCTCTTGCTGTAAGCAAGATTCTTCGAAGTTAGATAATAACATTCCGTACTTCCCCTCGGAGTGCATTTCGGTCTTCATTTGCATTTGCGTAGTGCGAGATAAACCAAGTGATCGGAAATGATGTCAACAAACACCAAAGGGATCATTAACAGGAACCTTACATTTTAAAAAATCATGTAACTCACTGTTTAAAATTCTATGTGAGCAAAACATTCAGCAAAATTAGCAGATAATTAAAGTCTGACAGCTTTATTTATATGTTGTATTTTGCAGGAAACAACATAATAAAAACATGGTGAAAATATTAAGTATTCCGTATTTTCAGTTGGGAATATATTGGTTAAATCTCTATATTTGGTTACTATTCTTTGTATAATCCCTGAGGAATCATTTTGAGTTTTGTTTTTTTAATGTAGTCTTTGTCAGGTGGCCTGATTTAAGAAGACAGAATTAATACACCAAAACATCTCACAAAACTAGTCAAGTTAATAAGCCATAAGACAAAATTCATTCTTACATATGTGTGTGCCTCTGGGAATGAATTTTGGAAAATTACTCATACTAGCTAGATTTTACTTCGATTATATTGACTCAATACAAGTTCCTTAGTAAAGCCTTGTGTCTTCAAGGCCTGTATATGAAGGGACTTCCCCCACACTACAAAAAAAAACCCCTAGAATTTATTTAGAAAAACATTGTATATGTATTCTTACATGTCTAAACTTGTCCTCTCCATTTGATGTGATACACCTATCGAGACACTTTTTCCACTGCTCAGAACAGTTTTTGAACTTGTCAATTTTGATGCTTTTTAGTGCTTCTGCCATTTGTGTTTTGTTTCCCCTCTTCCTTGTTAGCAAAATGTTTCCCTTTGGAGACTTTTGTCATCAGGGAAACACAAAGAAAAAGTCGCCTGGAGCAAGATCAAGAGAATAGAGAGGGTGGGGCGTGGGCGTCCTGCCGTGTTTTGCTCCAAAGCTGAGGGGGGCTCAGTGCCTTGAGGGCAGGCGTGCACATATCTCGCTTGGCGTGAAATGGGCAACACTTTAAAAGGATCTCTGGAAAAGAAGTTCACTGAGGCTGAATGCAGCCTCTCACTGCATTGCCAGCTGGTCCACTGAGGCTGATGGATTCCAAGAACACTGACCTAGCCAGGCAAGCCCGTGCTCCCAGGGGCCCGCCCTCCAAAAGTTAATTCTGGGTTTTTTGGGGAGTCAACACTTGTGTATTCACATAAAGTGATTGTCAGAATTATTTCAAGTCTCCTTGATTTTTCACACTTTATTTGCTTTTTTGGACTTTCATTTGCATTTTATCAGTGGCTTTCAGAGTCTTTGGAATTACAAATTGGGGCTGCAAGATTATCTGAACTTTCTGCTTAAAATGATCCTCAATCACCAGCCCCCATCCCTCCCTCTTGCTCTCTCTCTCCGTCTCTCTTACACATGCACGTACCTGCGTGCGCGCGCACGCGCGCGCACACACACACACACACACACACACACACACACACACCACTGCATATTTTATATGGAGTTAGAAATTGTACTAAAGTTTAGAAGAGTAAGTAGCTTATGAATTCATGCAGACAGAGAGACCCACAGAACAGAGAATTTTGTGTCGAGAACATCTTACAAGGATGCAAGTATAAAAATGAAAATAACTGAACACAAAAGTGAAGGGAAATAGTTGTTATACTGCCACCAGTTTATTTTTGAAATATTTTAAAAGTTTGTCAGTATGCACATAATAAATACAAAAACACTGTTTTTAGTGAATGAGTGATTTAGAGGGATTGAATTTGCGTGCATAACTTGTGTTTCTGATCTATTTTTCTTAGTTACCAATGGATGGAATTAGAATCTATAATACTCAGTGATTTATCACAGAAACAAAGATCTGAGTACCACATGTACTCACTAATTGTTGGACTCTGAACATTTATCATAATACTATAAGAAAGGGATTGGCAGTAGTGGACGCTGCCAGGGAGGGGGCACATAACATCAATAAGGGAGGGTACCCATACTTTACCTGTACGACGACCACGTAGGTACCTAACCCCGAAATGTACCTCACACTTTTAAAAAAACAATCAAAAGAAATTTTAAAAAATAGATTGTAACATATTCAGCGATAGGCCCCTTTTGTTGCATTGCCAAGAAGATTTTCTAATTCTGTGTCACTAAATAGAACTTTGGTGGGCAATCCTATAGAATATTGGAAAAGATGAATAAAGTTTGTTCTAGTACAGGCCACGTGAAAAGGTAATTTTTAAGTTTTTACAAAATTGAATGTGGTCAAAGCTTAGGTCAGTTGTCAATATGCCTCAGTAAATCAAAAATATGTATTTCATGTTATTCAGACCTCAAAATTCCAGGAGATCCCAAAGGAAAATATTAGCCTGATAGCTACACATCAAGGACTTCTTGTCCTGTCCAGATGAAGATGTCTTGCATCTGGTGGCACAGGGGCTAGAAAGGCACTTACCGCCAGCAGCCCCCTCCATGCTTATCCCCTGGTTCCTGGATCTTCACTGCTTACAGCTCACACCACCCTGGAGTCCCTCGTGGATTGATTGGGTCACAGTGGATACGCGTGTCTCCAAATCTGGATCTTTTATGGCATGACTAGTTCACAGCGCCCGCACCCTTTCCAATCCCTTCCACGCATCTGGACGCATTTTCAGTGCAGGGTTTGGAATAATGTTGAGGCGATTACCATATGGAGAGGCCTTCCTGTGTTCTCAGCGAAGTCTCGCCATTTCAGGGAGGATGAGATTTGTTCATTCATCACATTTATGTCATTTGACAGGATAAACAGTCAGATTTTTTTCAGCCATGAAAAACTATACAAGCCACGCATAGTAATTTGACTGAGAAACTTGTCAAACTTGCACTTTCATGTAGACAGAAGGGATAGACAAGCGTCATTCATTAAAATCACTGTAATGATACATTAATATTGTTGGTGATCATGTGACTATACAACCATAGAGCATAAATGAAATTTAGTAAATAGCTATGAAATGCAATTTTCTTTCAGATATAGAAGAGAAACGCATGTAAGAGAAGACAAAGGGTGCGATTCTTGTTTTGATTTTATTTTCAAGGCTGAAATTAGGCAGTTCACTCTAGGTGATACATTAACATTTTAAAGCATTTGCCAACCTTAGGTTTCACACAAGACCTGTTGTGTTTAGGCTGGTATGACAGTAGACACATACCTTAGGTTTCTAAGTAGTAACTTCAAGCTCCTTGTTTCAGCAGAAAATGTGTGTGTTTGTAGGTGTATCATGAATACGTTGTCTGTAATCGTGCATATCTGTAGTCTTCTTGAAATTGTATTTGTTTGTTTTAAAACACAAAGATGATTTTATGTTTTGTTTTGTTTGCTTTTCTTACTGGTAGCCTTTATTAAAGCAGGGTATTTTTGCTTTTGTTTTGATGTAAGAAACCACACCACCATTACGCAGGAGATTTTGATGGATTGTCTTTGTAGAACCTCTGGCAAAAAATGGAAAATATTCGCATATTGTGCAAAAAACACTTTTTGTTAAAATATTTCGTTTAAGTTTATAGGCATAAACATTTAGACAGAACAGCATATATACAGAGGGTTTCCCAAAATATACACAATTAAAATGTACTCAGTATATACCTGCCTGTTGCATGGTGATGCTAGCATTCATTTGATTAATGCCATCTTTTGAGCAAACGTCATACTGCACATTGCTACCATAATTCAATGCAAATTTGAAAATTAATGCATAGATAACATTTCCTAGAAAGCGTATACTTTTTTTTTGGCTCTTTGGCACCCCTGGCATATTAAGAATTATATTTATTCATAACATAAACAATCTAGACATAAGACTTTGATAGTTGCACATATTTCCTCTTCTCTGTGGATAAATACAAGAGATTCAAAAATAATACTTGTGGTCATCTAATAGACACAAACCCACACAGACACATGTATAAGATATTACATTGAAGGCTGCATGAGTCATTAGATATCAAAAATCATCCTGTCCTCCTGGGATGGTCCAGTTAAACAGTTGAGAATAAATTTAGCTCTGCTATAATCCATCATTGAAATTGAACATACATCCTTGTTGCAAAGATCATTGGTGATCACAGTGGACTCTGTTTATGTTCAATACTTGGTCACATCTTCTGCCTCTGAACATAGATATAAAGGCTAAATTTCTCCTGTCAGTTTAGGAAAGTCTGTGGACACCTTGGCATCCTATTAAGTATTTATTGTCACCCTCAGTAATTCCCATTCTCCAAGTGATAAGAATTCAAAGTTCATGAGGCACATCTCCTTCTGTCTATGACAGTGTATGTAAACACAGTTAATCGAACAATGAAAAAGCAATGAGATCAGTTTATTCTTTTAAATAGTTACTATGACTGTAACCATATCTTCGTTTTAAAAAAAGGCCTCTTGCGTGCCTTTCTTTGTGTAAGTCCTATCAGTACTCTTCAAAGCCTGAAGGCACTGACAAGGATCATTAATTGACTTGCAGCATTAATTAAGTTAATGATCCAAGATTTTGTTTCACAGTGCATCAGCACAGCAGATTATTTTACCAGGCACATGCTAGAGTAATTCAAACTACAGGGTTCTCTGATAATAATTATTGCATTCACACTACAATTTCAGTAGATAGTCTTGGGCAGAACAATACAGAATGTGTTGACTTCTGACTGGATCATAGACCATGAACTTTTCAAACCTGAAAAATATAAATTTAGAAGTTTTCTTTTGATTCTAAGTAAAATCATGGCACCCTTCTCTCAAGCGAAATAAATGGGTCTTTTAAAATAATAATTTAAATTAAAATATGAAGTTTTCAAACTGTATATCTGAATCTAAATATCTAGTGTGACAATTTCATTGAAATATGAATAGTAAAAACATTTTGCTTGTTAAATGGGAAACTCAAACTAAATTTTTAAATGGTAAATAATTTGCATAGTTTACTACCAACAAATAAGACTATTTTATTCAAATTCAACAACAGATTCCTTTACTTAACTCTTAGAAAAATTATTTTAAATATTGTTGATAATTTTCACTAAGAAAAAATTTAAAAGTGATTTTAGGTTAAAATGTTAAATGAAAGGTTGAATGTTACTTTTTTAAAAACCAATTTCCACGTATATTGTTGTATACTAAAATAATCAGATTACATTGAGAATTTAAATTTTAAAAAATCATTCTTGAAACTAATATTTTCTTAACCTGTAACAACTTCTACCACTTCCAGAGCTGATACATGTTTTAATGCATGAGTAAGTCTTAATAATTTTAGAGTACCTTTCCATGCCTTTCTTAGACTAACTACTACAGCCTATAGTTTATACTAAAATTAAACTTGGGTGCCCATGTTAAAATATCATTTTGTAAGGGGTTAGTAAGATAATTGATTTATATAAATTATACACAGAAAGAACATCTAAATTGCCTTTTTTGTGGTTTCACCCAAGATTTATAAAGGTTGTATTTCTTTAAAAAATTGAAGAAATATATAGTTGAGCTTTGTAGAGTCAATGATTTGGGTTTTTATACTCATTTTTTTTCTTAGCACATATGTCCAAGTATTTAGGAGTACACAATGGACATCCCCTATCTGTGTTATTCTTGGGTCCTCATTTTCAGTCTTGAAGCAGTAAAGTTGGAAATTTTGTAACTCACTAATATGTGTTCATGATGTAAAGGCTATATTGACCACACCTATGTGGTATATGGATATATGTATTTAATATGTTACTTTTAATGTAACTCTATGCATTTTTTAAAAGATAGGAAAATTCTACATAGTCACTAGCACATGTGAAAGTTATGTGTGCTTTTACAGTAAAAAAAGAAAGAAAAGAGTGGGATGAGACTTTCTTGGTGGTAAATTACCAATCATAGAACTGGTAGGTCTTAGTAGTCCCTACTGGGCAATACTGTATTGTGTTTTTAAAAAGCCACATCTCTAAAATTGTTGGCCACATATCCAGTTGAAAACAAAATGGGAATGAATTCTTTTTTGAAACAGCAACCCTCTAAGAAAAGTCGTGCACAAGCTTATAGTAAAGTTTCCCTGCCTGTTTCTCAAGTGCAATACACTGCTGCAATACTTAAAACCTGATTTCCATGCCCATGGATTGGTAACTTGTTTATTTTCATTTTTTGGGTCTTAGAATAGAAAGATATTCTGAAATTGTCAGCTCGATGTTTTGCTTTGTAAGGAGGTTCCCAATTTTATTTAAAAAGGAAAAATGTTGTGTTTGTGATTCTCTGACATGCAGAAAAGGGCTTAGTTAGCAGTGACATGAGGTCTGACTCATGCTTATAATTTCAGACCAGAACAATTGTGGCTCCATAATCAAGCCACAAAACAGAACTAAGTTTAAACAGAACTTTGTGTGTTAAGCAAAGTTATTATGATGAAATGGATGATCTATGCTCAGCATTAGGCCTGACTGTGCACATAAAATCTAAGTGCTTTCATGAGATATCTAATAAACGTGTTAATATGATCATGAAAGGAAGGAGAATAGCTTTACAGGAACAAACTCTACAGTAATTAAAACCCTACTGTCAGTGCATGAAATTAAGAACTCTATAACATCTCATTGTTTTATGGAGTTAGAAAACTAGATTATTCTAACTAATGTATCTAATTGTTACAATGATTTAAAGTCATAGAATAGTGTTATCAAAGCACAGTTATGTTTATGCAAAAATAAACAAAAACAAGTGGGACTTTCCCCCAAAGTTTTGTATACCAAATGATCAACTGTTGAATCATAGCCTGGAACCCGAGTGTGGGAACAGAAGTCCTAAATTGGTCTTTGACATAGTCTTACAATTTCTCAGACAAAACATTAGCCTCCAGGGGCCTTTTCTCTTTCACCTGTGAAATGTGTTTCCTTTGTGTAGGTTAATTCCCCTATTGACACAGAAACACTGTCGAAAGTAAGATTCTCGTTTACTTTCTTCGCTGCCATCTGTTGTCATGCCTGGACCATAGGAAGCTGAAGCCCTCAGTCAATATTGCTTGATTCAGTATATACAAGATGATCTATGATCTATGGGAAAGTCTTTATAAAATGAAAAATATGCTGCTTAGATAATAGTGTTTCAACAATAGACAATGTATACATAGTTGTGGTCAAGACTATGTCTTCATAAGTATTTGAAAATGTTTGATATGTTTTCTTATTTCTTATTCTGCAACAGGTATGTATAAGTGAAGAGGTGTTTCTGGAGAGTGGAAGGATTGTAGTCTGACAAATAAAGTAAATATGATAAATCATTGCATTTGAAATTCTGAGTCAAGAAAGTCTCTACAGTGAAAGGAGTACTGTAAAACTTTCAATTATTCAACTATAAAATACAAAAGACAAAGGGACATTGACCAAGAAAACAAATTCAGTGAAAGCATTTAAATTTATTTACCATGTCATTTCTCTGAAAACAGTATTTCTTTCCAAGATGATTATGTAAATTATTTCCTAAATATTATATAATGCACATCTTTGCAATAGAATAAGATTTTGAACTCTGAGATATCATTCTAATTTCTTGCTGTCAGGTAAACTTTTTATTTTTATTTTCCAAGATTAGCCTCAGGATAGATTCTTGTGTATGGTAATTCTGGAATAGCGTTAATATATTTGTGTAAGGTTTTTTAAAATTGATTTGATACGTTTCAGGGAAAATGTGTGAATCTTCAGTCAATTACTGCGAATGCAACCCCTGCTTTCATGGTGGTTCCTGCCAAAGTGGTGTGGATACATATTATTGTCATTGTCCATTTGGTGAGTATAACCCATTTGTCAATCTAAAATATCAGACTATTTGTGCACGTCGCATAGTCATCTTGTATGGTCATGGCCATGAGTGACTACGAAGATAAATGCCAAGGGTTTACACGTGGGAGGCTTTATTAAAATAAAATCTTAAAGGCTTGGCCTTTCTAAAAGCTAATTATGGAAATCCCATTGGATACCGTGCAAGAAAAATATATCAAGTCAAGGTACTCGAATTCATGTCACGATCAGACCAAAACATGCGAAGAAAGGGTACACGGAGCAGAGTGGAGTCCAGCGAGGAATGCAAGGCAGCCTCAGGAGCCCGCTCCGGCAAGCGGAGAGCTGCCACGTGCGGGAGGAGGAGGAAAGTGGCGGGCAGGCAGCGGCTGTGGGAGACGAGAGAGGCGGAAGTGAGGGCCCGGAAGCGGAAGTGAGGGCCCGGAAGCGGAAGTGAGGGGGAGAGGCCGCCCCGTGGGTTACAGTTCCGCCGCTGCCTGGGGGGGAGCCTCTGCGCCCGCACGGGGGGCTGGTGCCGGGGGCAGTGAGTCTGTCTACACCTCCTGCTGGGGGACAGTCCTCCGGGCCAGCGGCGGAACCCAGACATGCAGGGCACTTCCCCTCCGATGCCGAGGATCAATCCCCTTGAGCCCAGAGCTGTCGCGCGCGGGGCGCACCAGGTGACTCGAAGCGGCGAGGACAGCCAGAGGGCTCGGCCTCTGTGTGGCTCTGAGGTTGTTCTGTGCCTCCCTGCCGCCGCTCCTTTTTGAAGGGTTTAATAGCCGCCCAAGCCATTTTCACGGGAGGCTGTGGAGCACGCCACGCGACGATACCAATGGAGACAGTGGCTCAAGGAAGAGGGTGGTTAGCGAGGGCGTTTGGGGGCGCAGGCGTAAATTGGTGCGTCTCGGGGGAGTGGGCGGAAGGCTTCCTTCCGGGTCTCGCCCGAATGCCGGCCCTTCCGGGGTCCGCCAGGGGCTCTGGGAACAGCTTCCCAGGACGTATTTGGAATCACTCGGTGTGTCTTAGGCGTTTGTGACCTTTCCCGCTTTAAAAGGCTGCTTTGTTCCCCAACGTAGAATCCATCTCCGGATGACCCGTGTCTTTCCCTAAACCAGAGAGAACAAGAATATGTTTCCAGTCTTTCCTTGGACGTCTTATGCTGGGTGGACCTGAAGACTTAGCTTTCTTTAGCGTAGAAGATAGAACTCTATAAAATATACGAAATGTCTGGTAACCAGTAAAATATGCTAAATGTGAGTCATTTTCTCACAGTTCCACGACTCTCTTTTTTATATAGCCCATCAATAGAATGACAAGATAAACAGAATTGAAAAGCCTCTGATTTTGAGCAGTGTAGTTTATCTATAGTTCTGAGGCCCAGGTGTTGAGTGATTTGCCCCAAGAGACAAAATGAAGTTCAACTAGAACGACCTCAAGATTGTGTAATGACTAGAAAACACATTTTATTTTCTGTCTGGCCTGACATTTAGGGCACTCCTGCTTTATACAGTTTCCTTGAGGTCCTTGCCAACAATGTCCATGCCGTAAAGAAAGGCAAATCAAGGTCACAATCACCACAGTTAGGTCTCCTAAGACTTGTCCTTTCTTCTGGCATTCTCTTACAATGTTAACTTGCTGCTTTTTACCGGTGAGCAGTCAGGCTGCATGTTTAATCTTGTGTTTGGAATGAAAGGGGCTTGGAGTGGATAGTGTGCAATGATGTTTAAGCAACTGAACAGAAGTGTTTATATTTTTAGGGGTTCCTTTTCATTACAATTGCAAAGATCAGAATTTAAGAAAGTCGATACCAAATCATGACAAGCAGTTGCCGCAGTGCAGCTGGTAGGTTATCCATTAGGTAAGAGTGTTTCAGGATCCAAATGGACCTTCCTTTCACCCTGCCAGAGACCTGCAGAGTAAGGGAAATAGCAGAACACAAGCTGAGATGGACACAGATCTCACACAGCTGGCAGTGCAAACATCTCTTCCTATTCCTTCCAGTGGCAAAGACAAAAAGAAAAGTTACTTAAATTTAGATATTATTGGATGACAACAGAAGTACTTATATGTTGAAAACAAGACAGAAATACCTTGAAACACTAATACACGATTTGGGACTTACAGGGATAAAATTAGAGGAGAAGATTTTTCTTCTCCAATTGAATGTGGTGAAACGTAAGAATCTCAATGGCAGGTGACCTGAGCTGCCTTCCACAGACAGCCAGAGGCGGCTACACAGGCGTCCTGTAAAGTGGAATTTCGTCATTTGGAAGTTGGAAAACGTTGTTGCGTGGTTGACCTTCTCATCTTGGATTGGCTGTTTGGGTTTTGAGACTTCTTTAGATTCTTAGATTTTTTTGTTTAGATTGTGGTTCAGGAAAAACAAAGTGCTTCAGACTTTACAAAGACAAGCTATATTGTTACAACTGCTTAGAATTGTTTCGTTATTACAGATGTAACACACACACAATCTATATATGTATATATACACAACATTCTATATATTTAAATTACTAAGGGATCTTGTGTGAGTATATACATACATATATAGTGTATCTCTATATATGTATATATTTATTTCAAATATGAATTACTAAAATATTATATACAAATTACTCAAATAAATAATTTAAATTTAATACAATAATACGCACACACACACAAATCCCTTAGTAGAGTAATTTTCATGATTTTGCTTGATTTTTATCTAGATTTATTTCATGGCATTTTATTTGAAAAGAAGATTTTAAAATGTTTGTTAAGTTTTATTATTGTATTCTAAAGAAAAGAAGTTACCTGTCTGTAAAAGGAGTAACAAAATGCTTTAAAAAGGAAAAAAAACCCATAAAGAAATATTTTCATTTTTGAAAATTCAGTACTAACTTGAATAAAATGTAAAATGTCTTTCTACATTTTTAAAATTTTAAAATTATCTACATAATTTTAATATACATATTAAGCACATTGTTATGGGTTGATTAAAATTTAATCAGAAGAGACTTGAGTGAACACAAAATACAAAATTTTTCTTTAGCGATCTTTTTATTTTATTTGTATGTTTTATTTTTGCTTGTGAAAAGTTTATTTACTTCCTACCTACAATGCATCTATAATATAGCCATATATTTTAATATTAAATAAATATGACTTATTGCATATAAGTATATACTACATATGCCAATAAATGTATAAAATATAAATATTACATGATAGATATAATAAATATATATTTTATAAAATAAATATATACCACATATAATATGCGAGATGTATAATATATATCATTGTTATAATTCCTTTGCCTTTTCTTCAACTTCAGTTAGAGATATAAAATGAAAAATTATGTATATTTCCTACTCATTTATAATGAATATTATTTCAGCCTTGACAGAAAAGGAAAAAATAATTGACACCAGCTTTTATAGCGGCTTCTAGCCCATTTTAATTTAAAGAATGTTTGGGCACAAAATATGGTACAGTCAAAACAACTAGACAATCAGTAGATCTGGCCTCAAATTTTGGCTGTTTCCCATGGTTCTGTGACCTTGGGCAAGTTTTAAATACTCTGTAAAACAATGGCATTGGTTCTTTCCAGTTGTACAGTTCTCTGATTCTAAATGTCATGCATTTACAAGAAATATAAAGCCAAAATTAAGAAACGAAATCTTTTCAAGTTAATAAGAATCATGATGCATTGGCGTGGGTTAATTTTCCAATCATTTGCCACAGTCTACTAATATTTGTGGGAAAAGAATTTTGGCGTAGCATTGCAACATCAATAAAACTCATTTTTCAAGTTTGAAAAAGAACCAGAACAAACAAATGGGAATGCTGAATTTCAGAAAGGCAGGAAGATATTTTAAAGTAGCCTGCAATGAATCATAACCAAAGAGGGTATAGAACAAGAAAGAGATAAAAACTGGAGACTGTTATTTCCTTTCCTGAAGCAATGATCCCACTTTCCTACTTTTGTGACTCTTAGAAATACCATGATTATAGGGACTGATTTTTTTAAGTCAAAACAAATGAGTTTACTATCTTCAATTGAATTGACATTGTTTTTAAAAAGTACATGTTATTAAGGAAGTATTTTGGTTGAAAATTACAGCATATTTAAACTCTATAAAGGTTGACAAACACATTTTCAAAGGTGTCTGAAAATGAAATCTCTTCAGACATACTTCATTCTACTAAGAAAGAAAATATACTTAGATATATTTCCTCATGGCCCAATGAAAATAATTATGTCAAATGATTATAGCTATTATATGCTTTAAAGGTGATCAATTCATTCTCTTCAAATGTTACGTTGGATGGCAGTCTTTGAAGAGGAACAAAACTAATTGTTAACAGTAGGGTTTGTTTTATAATTTAAAACATTTTAATTAAAATATATAATAAAACTTTTCTGGAATTTGACATGTTCATTTTTCCTCTTCCAGGTGTCTTCGGAAAACACTGTGAGTTGAACAGTTATGGATTTGAGGAGTTGTCATACATGGAATTTCCAAGCTTGGATCCCAATAACAACTATATTTATGTCAAATTTGCAACTATCAAAAGTCATGCTTTATTGCTTTACAACTATGACAACCAGACAGGGGACCGGGCTGAATTTTTGGCCCTTGAAATTGCTGAAGAAAGACTAAGATTCTCTTATAATTTAGGCAGTGGCACATATAAACTCACCACCATGAAGAAGGTGTCAGATGGACACTTCCACACTGTGATTGCCCGGAGAGCAGGAATGGTAAGGCACTTCATCCTACATACACCTCGTTCTGTTGTTGTATAGCCAGTAAATTAGGCCTTTATATGAAGCATGCATTGGAGTCCAGTTGTGTTAAATTATGTTTATTCATTATTTGGTCAGTTTAATTATGAGCGGAGGCAGACTAAGAAGTACTGTGTTTCTGTAGCTCATGACAGTTATGCCCAAAAGCAAGAAAAAAGGAGAAAATAAAATAGCCTAGTATATAAAAATTTCATTGATGCAGCCTGTATATTTTTAAGGTCATGTCAGGACTATATTTAAAATTGCTGCTTTTCTCTCTTGAGTGTTCCTTCTTTGACTGAAGAAACACTTTGGGAACAAAGAAGAAAATCTTCTACAAATGCATCACTGGCAAAAGATGATATTCACCCTTATTTCAACATAGTACTATCAATCATCTTTATTACACAAGCACCTCGATATACTGTCATCCTTGAAGTCTATGATGAGACTGGTAGGATGAAGTTGTTTTTCTAACTATCTAAAATATTCTCAGAGTTACAAATTCACAATAGTCAAGATTTCTGGGTATCCAGGCATGCCTCTGAGATATCATGGATTAGGTTCCAAACCCCTGCAATAAAGTGAATGTCACAATAAAAGGAGTCACTCACATTTTGTGGTTTCCTAGTGCACATGAAAGTTATACCTATATTATCCTGTAGCATATTGATTGTGTAATACCATGGTGTCTCAAAAACAATGTCCATGACTGAGTTAAAAATACCTGATGGCCACAAAATTCTGGGGACCATCTGAGCCTTCAGTCTGTCGAAGTCTTTTTGCTGTGTCTTGCTTTGGTGTTTATGGTGGCTGACTGAGCAGTGTGACGGAGGGTTGGGGTGGCTGAGGAACTTTATTAAAGCGAGATCAGAACAAAGTGTGCCGCCCCGATGAACTCCCCTTTTATGAAAGAATTCTCTGAACAGCATTCGGAGCTGTTGGGTAGACCGCATTTTAACCACAGTAGAGCTTCTTTCGAACGTGAAGTCAGTCCTTTCTCAAACTTTGCTGGTACTTTATCAACTAAGTTTATGGAAGATTCTAAATCCTCTGTTGTCATTTCAACAATGTCCATGGCATCGTCACAAGGAGTAGACCCCATCTCAGTCAACTTTCTTTGCTCGTCCATTAGGAGCAACTCCTCATTCTTTTATGTTTTGTGGCAAGATCGCCGAAGTACAGTCCCATCCTCAGGGTCCACTTCAAGTCCTAGTTCTCTGGCTGTTTCCACCCCATCCGCAGCGACTTCCTCCACTGAAGTCATGAATCCCTCAAAGGCTTCCATGAGGGTTGGAATCAGTGTCTTCCAAGCGCCTGTTAATGTTGATGTCTGGACCTCCCTCCATGAATCATGAATGTTCTTCACATCATCTAGAACGGTGAATTTTGTCCAGAGGTTTTCAATGGGCTTTTCCCAGATCCATGAGAGATCAATGGCAACTATAGCCTGATGAAATGCATTTCTTAAATAATAAGAGTTGAAAGTTGAGATTACTCCTCAAGCCATGGGCCATAGAATGGATGCTGTTTTAGCAGGCTTACAAACAACATCAATCTTGGACATCTCCATCAGAGTTCTTGGGTGACTAGATGCATTGTCAATGAGCGGTCATATTTTGAAAGAAACCTTTTTTTTTTTATGAACAGTAAGTCTCAACAATGGGCTTGAAACCTTTGGTAAATTGTGCTGCAGATAGGCTATCATCCAGGCTTTGTTTTTCCATCGATAGAGCACAGGCCGAGTAGAATTAGCATAATTCTAGGGGACCTAGGTAAATAAGCATTAGCTTCAACTTTGAGTCACCAACTGCATTAGCCTACATACAGAAAGAAAGTCAGTATGTCCTTTGCTGCCATTAAGACAGGAATTGACTTCTCCTCTCTAGCTATGAAAGTCCTAGGTGGCATCTTCTTCCACTAGAAGGCTGTTTCATCTACACTGAAAATCTGTTGTTAGTGTAGCCACTGTCATCAGTGACCTCAGCTGGATCTTTAGGAGAATTTGCTGCAACTCCTCCATCAGCACTTGCTGCTTTGCCTTGAACTTGTGTGTTGCGGCGACGGCTTTTCCTCTAAATTGCACGAACCAACTTCTGATAGCGTCCAGCTTTTCTTCAGCAGCTTCCTCACCTCTTTCAGCTTTCTTGGTGTTGAAGAGAGTTAAGTCCTTCCTCCAGATTTTGCTTTGGCCTAAGGGAATGTTGTGGCTGGTTTGATTTTCTGTCCAGAGCGCTCAAACTTTCTCTTAGCATTAAGTAAGGCTGTGTTGCTTTCTGATTATTTGTGTATGCACTGGAGTAGCACTTACGATATTCTTCAAGAACTTTTCCTTTGCTTTCATTGGTTGGCGAACTGTTTGGCACAAGAGGCCCTGCTTTGGGCCTGTTTTGGCTTTCCACATGCCTTTTTCACTCTGCTGAATCATGTTTAGGTTTTGATTTAATGTGAGAGACATGTCATTCTTCCTTTACTTGAACACTCAGAGGCCACTGCAGGATGATTCCTTGACCTAATTTCAGTATTGTTGTGGGAGAGACAGGTGAGAGCCAGTTGTTGGGCCAGTGTGGACACAAGCGACGTCTGTCCATTGAGCTTGCCATCCTATATGGCAGGGTTCGGATAGGCCCCAAATAATAACAATCCAAGATCACATTGCTGGTCACAGATCACCATAACAGATAGAATAATCATGAAAATATTTTTCATGTTGAAAAAATTATCAACGTGTGACTCAGAGTCATAAAGTGAGCACATGCTGTTGAAAGAATGGTTTTGATAGAATGGATGGATGCCCTGTGGCCAGAAAATCTTTAATTTGTAAAAACACATAATATCTGCAAGTGCAGTAAAGTGAAGTGAAATAAAATGAGATATGCCTGTAATTCTAAATTATATTATTATGTGGCTCACTCATATTACCACAAGAATAACAGATTTATTTAGGATTTGTGTTTATTAAACAAGTAGTTTTTTGTATGAAGGGAAATGCATCATATCTTTTCATTATTAATGATTAAAAGTACTTGACATAGAGACATAAAATGCAAGGGCTTATTTGTTTATTATTTATTTATTCTTTATCTTCAAAACTACTGCTCTGTTCTCCCTTATCTTTGACATTTATCAAGGATGTTTGAATAAGTAAATGCTAACAAAAACTATACTGAAATTGTTTTTTACTTTAACTTTGAATTTTTAAAAGCTTAAAATTGCTGTTTAAGATTTATATTTCACTCCAGATAAAGGAATAGAATTCTGTAAAATATTCAATTATCTAAAAAAAGAAAAATTAGTGAAAATAGTGAAGTAAATTCTACCAAATTATTTTTGAATGAAGAAGCCTGGTATCTAAATGTGTATAGTTTTATTTCTACATTCTACAGCCACCTGTAGAAATATGGTAAATTACATAGTTCTTAGACTGATTATATGAATCTTATATTTGTGAAATGAGAGAAATTGTTACACTAAATTTCAAGAATATATTGTATTGCTGGAATGCATGTAAACAATATCAAGAAACAGTATTCAGTGTCTTTACCATGTTTTTACTAGCTTTTTTCCCCTTTTACCCATAATTAATTTTAAAGGCTAAAATGTGCACTTTCTGTAATTGACAAATTCATAAGCGCATAAGACAGAAACTACTTTATTTTTTTTCTGACCAATACACATAACAAGCAATCTGTTATCAAAGAAGAAAATGTTTCATTTGCTGTTAGGGTTATTTTATAAATCTATATTTCATTTGAAATAGCATCAGATACAGTGACTTCCATACTGATTTAATACAGAATGATGAAAGATAATGGTAAGCAAGTTTTGTTTGTTTTTTTTTCACTGAAGGGACATACGTGTTATTCTAACGTACAGAAATCTCAGCAGTGCATTTAAACTGGTGCAGTGGCGCATCCTTGACCTCTGTCCTTCCTGCTTGGCAAGTGCCTACAGGTTTTGGACCCAGGGCGCGGCCTCCCTGTGAGCGCTGATCTCATGGCATCTGGCCTTGTCCTTGACCCTGACAGCTTCCCCCACTGAGCAGAGCTCCTGGTCTTCCGAGTTGGCCGTGTGGAGGCCACAGTGGAGCGGGTCTCTCCTGCAGACTAGATGCCCCTCGCCTTGAGGATGCATTAGGGGACGCTGTTTTACACACCGGGCAGGCAGGAAGACCACCAGTTCCATGAGGTCATGGCATGGGCGAGCCCCACCCGCTGAGCCCTCTGGTTCTCCACCAAGTGGTGACAGTGGTGACCCTGGCTCGAAGGACGGAAGGTCTCTTGGTGGGCCGGCACTTTGCCGGCAGCTTTCTTCTGAGCCCAGGCCAACAGCCTCCTCTTTCCCTGACTTTGGCTTTGGGCTGTCCTCGTGGGTCAGCTTACCCAGATGAGTCACTGTCTGCTGGTCCAAGGCCCGGGGGAACTGGCTGATGGCAGAAGAAAGCTTCAGCCTATCACAGAGGCTGGCTTTTTGCCTAGCAGGGCCATGTGACAAAGCAGGGGGGCCCCTTCTGGGATGGATGTCCCATCCAGTGTCACAATTTCGATGCCTTTTCTCCAAGTGAAAATGCACTACCTTCTTGGCTGCCTGCTGCTTGGTGATGGCAGCGGCCGGGAGGCCTTCTTCCCCTGGGGCTCCTGTCCTTCCAGCACTTTGGGCAGCTGGGGGAGCAAGGAAAGGGAATGCAAATGTAGGTGTTTTAACACAGAACTATTTTCGGCTATGAGAGGCCACAAAAGAATAGTGATGAGCCTTAAAGATGACCAAGTGACATGTCACATAATGGGTCAAGGTTTGTGACCATTGTCCAGACATTCCATCCCTGGACCACATCGCATCCATCAAGGCATCCGGGCCCCCATCAGGCTATTGGGTGTTCATTATGTGACTAAAACTGTGAAAACAGCAAAGCGGCTGTATAATCTTATAAGTCGTTTTAATGATATGCTGTTTTCCATTTCCTTTTGTATTTAGTGTAAATATTCTGAGGCTAGAAAATTTTTCTAATGTATTTAACGCATACAGTGTTTACTTAATACAGTTACCCCCCAACATTCTTAAAATGATGCCGAAACCTAATACTGTTTCATTTTATATTTTAATTTTAATAATATGCTCACATTTTCCTATTATTATAAAGGTTAATATAAATTATACCTAAAATTTCTTTTATGTGAATTAGGTGTTTTAACAGGTGTTAGTCATTCTGAATTGCCACCACCCACACTGACCCGTATTAGCTTTACGAAGCAAAAAAATTGACTGTTTTACTCGATCTCAGTCTCAATCAAGTTTACATTAAGAGGGGTGCCTACAGAACCCCCAACTTGGATGGACATTAATAGAGGTGTAACAAGCAAATCTCAGATACAGTAACTGATTCTTCTGATTAGTAATAGGTTATTGAGTCCATTCTTGCCTGAGATTTTTAAAACCAGCATAATGCCCAACTGGTGTGCTTGGGGGAAGACTTCTAAAAGAGTATGGATTTTTTATTTTTATTTATTTATTTTTTTTGAGTTGGAGTCTCACTCTGTCGCCCAGACTGGAGTGCAGTGGCCGCTTCCGGCCACCGCAGCCTCGCCTGCTGGGCTCCTGCGATCCTTCCACCTCAGCCTTCCGAGTAGCCGGAATTACAGGCGTGCGCTACCACGCCCAGCTGATTTTTTGATTTATTGTAGAGATGAGGTCTCGCTGCCCAGGCGGGTCTCGAACCCGTGGGCCCAGGCAATCCACTCACCTCAGCCTCCCAAAGGCACGGGATTACAGGCTGAGCCACCAAGCCCGGCTAAGAGTATGGATTTAAGTAATTCTACCATTCCTGATGATGGATGTAACCAGAAAGATTGAGCCTTAGAGAACTAGAACAAACATTGGGAAACTGATATGTATAGATTGGGCTTGCATCAGTCATTATAATATTAAAACGAGTAGACATCACCTCACCCCAATACTCCAGGCATGTGGGAGATAACCGTATTTCCGAGCTATTGTTATGTGAACAACAAGCAGACACTTAAGCAAAATAAACAGTTTTACCTGATGGCCTCCAGAGTCGCTTTAAGCGTCACAAGCATTTGATTTTATGAAGCAAGGACTTGAGAACAAGAAGTACAGGGAGGAAGAAGTGCCACGAAGTATGCAGCTCTCTGTGATTGGTGCCATAGTTATTAATGGTTAAACGGGAGTTAAAGGATCTGTCATGATTACTCAGTCATAGGAGAATGCCTCCCTGTTTCAGAAAGCATTCAAAATAAGGTCCCTGTTGGATTTGGAATTTTTTAAAAATTCAAAATGATTTTTGTTGGAAGCTGGCAAAATCATTAACCTCTCAGCTTTAAACCATTGCACAGTCAGGATAGAAACATCTCAATTTACAGTGGTACTAGAAGAAAAATTCAGCAGTAAAACAAAGAGCTTTTAACTCTGAAGGCTCAATGGCATGAGCTGCCATTCAAATAAGAGATCTCCTCAGTTATTCTTTCTTTGAGGTGTGTCACCACGCTTTTAGAAAATAAGTCATGTGAGATAGCAACAATGACTAAAATGTAATACCACTAAAATGTAATACCACTATGCAAAGCTGTTTTTCTAGTTGAGGCATCCATAAACATCCTTGTCTACTGTCTAGTTTGTGATAGCTTTCGGGATCTCAAGAACGGATATTGGCATAGTCTATGGAGAGAGGTGTTAAAGTAAATACTTGTCATAACCAATGTAAACTGCATCATGAAAACCTAACACTGGTTTTGAAGTTGAAGATCACTCAATTTAATAGATAACTGAAAGGGACCAATCAAAAGAGTGAGCTAAACGGAACATGTTATGTCTTGACATAGAATTGAAAGTGTAAATGTTTCCTATAAACGTTAGTATTTAATATACTGTACTTGAGAAAGCAACAAGAAAAAATTCAGGTAGATCACTAGAACTTACTGTATGATGTTCATAACAATTTTTTTTTTTTGAGTTAGAAACTCACTGTGTTGTCCAGACTGGAGTGCAAAAGCATGCTCCCGGCCATTGCAACCTCACCCTGCTGGGCACCAGCGATCCTTCCACCTCAGCCTTCCAAGTAGCCAGAACTACAGGCATGCGCTACCACGCCTGACTAGTGTTTGGTTTATTGTAGAGACAGGGTCTCGCAAAGTTGCCCGGGCGGGTCTTGAAACCCCAAGCTCAGACGGTCCACTTACCTTGGCCTCCCAAAGTGCTGGGTTTGCAGGCTGAGCCACTGAGCCCAGCCCAGTGCTCATAATAATTAACTCATAAAATCTCTGAAAATACATTAGCCATTGATAGTTGATGCATAATTTATAAATTGGCTACACAGTGACCTTCATCATTATTATTAAAATAAGAGATATTTACGAACAATTTTTACAAGTCTCTCTCTAAATGTATATTTTATAAACAATTCATAAAAATCATAAGCAATATCAATACATGTGGGATCTCAAGGAAATGAATCATTTCCATCCACAGTGAAAGTGACCTGATTTTGTAAGACAGAAAACTTGGTGTCTAACCTCTTTGCATTAAGTGCCACGTAATGTCAGTCAACCTGCTGAGCTTTCCTGAACTGTTTCCTACATCTGCTTTGCTCTTATTAAAATTAGCATCAAATAATAGACATCCTGATAAGCAGATGTTTGCACGATGTTTATATTTCTCTTCTATAAATGTGACAAAATTGGATAAGTGCTGTTCTGCGACATTCATAAACGTAGGTAGAACCCTTACTGTCTGCATTGAGAGAAACCTTAATCCCTGCTGTGCTTCTGGATAATGGATGATGTCTCCTCCTTGGATTTGCTGGCCATTTTCTGGAATATCGCACTCTGAGTGTCGTCCTTAGAACTTCCACCACTAAAATATGCAAAGTGTTGTCATTTGTGGTGTTGTACTGAAGCCCGGGGAGGGAGGAGGGGCATCACCATAGCAGTACAGAGTGCACAGTAAGGTGGACACACAGCGCTGGTGTCCACCTGAACTTCCGCTATCCTCAGCTGCTGACGCTCAACAGAGAACTCGGACTTGGGTCACAGTCTTGGGCCTTTCGACCACGGGTTGATGACTTTGCTGATCCAATGGGGTCTTCACCTGATTTACTAAGCAGAAGGCCTTGCTCTCATAGGGAGATGCATCCCTGAGAATGCAAAAATGACCATTGTTAGTTGTGTAGTTGTGATTGAAATAGCATTGGAGAGTTTTTACGGTAACATAGTATATAATGATACATTTTCATGATACACAGATATGCTGTAGTATGTTATTTATAATCTTTTTTTTTTTGAGTTGGAGTCTCGCTCCATTGCCCAGGCTAGAGTGCAGTGGCACACTCACAGCCACCCTAGCATCGACCTGCTGGGTTCCAGTGATCCTTCCGCCTCAGCCTTCCAAGTAGCCGGAATGACAAGCACATGCTACCACGCCTGGCTAATTTTTGATTTATTGTGGAGATGAAGTGTCACCAAGTTGCCTGGACGGGTCTCGAATCCACAGGCTCACACCATTCACATGCTTCGGCCTCCCAAAGTGCTGGGATTGCAGGCTGAGCCACCGAGCCCAGTCTATAATCATTCTTAACATAAATGAGGAGACACATATTTGATTTCTTTAATTTCTTCAAACTTTAACTTTGGTGTGAATATCAAAATGTTCATAGATTGCTATAATAATATTTATACTGCAGTTTCATAATCTTTTTCTAAATATGGCTAAAATATTATTAGAATAAGACTCTAAAAATCAAAGATTAAATGTCTTTTCACTTTGTAGAATAGCTGGATAGTAGAATAAACATATTTTCTTAGGTTGCAATCCCAGGAAGATGCCTCCGACCTACCATGTGGTATTCTGTGGAACACGAATGGCATGTTTATCCTTCTGCATCTATAAAACATGGGAACAGGAGAAGATTTATCGAAGCATTCTTTCACCTCCTACATGCAAAGATAGTAACAATTTTAGTTTTAGCAATATCAGAGAAATGTGTGCCCATAATTTAATATGGCATTATAATTATCATAGATTAACTCAAAATATCATCAAAATTGTGTCCACATAGAAGCAAGTCCTGGGTAGCATTAGCTGGAAAGGCTGGAGCACAGGAGGGCCTAAGGTGAACATGTCTTTTTCTTGCTCTGCAGGCAGCTTCCTTGACTGTGGACTCCTGTTCTGAGAATCAAGAACCAGGGTACTGCACTGTCAGTAACGTGGCAGTTTCAGATGACTGGTACGTAAATTGATTTGTTTAACCTTTACTGTAATGTGAAATTGGAAAAAAGAAAGAAATCTTACACTTAAAATAGTCCTATTATGCTGAGTATTACGGAAAAGGTTAAGATACTCTGTGTCCCTCTCAAAAAACGTCCATGCTATAAAAGTCAGTAATCGTGTTGCAAATATTATGTTCAAAAGGTGTGAAACAAAGTGGTAGAGATGAGGGTGAACGTAGAGAAAAGAAGGGTGAATGTGGCCAGTATTCTTTGGACGTCTTCATGAATAATTCCACGTGACCTTGGTCCTGAAAGACGGGTGGGGAGAAGCACCCCACACACACTCACAGATGGTTTATGTGACAATTGCCAACAGATATTTATTTGATAAGCCCCTCACGCTGAAACACAATATTAATCTATAAAAAAAAGTGACTTCAACAGGAATAATTACAGCAGAGAAAATTAAATTTCGACACACAGTGCTTACTGCCTTGATCGACTTATTGGCACACATCTCCGCAGTGAGGGAGTGATGTAACTGAGCAAAAATGTCAGAGCTGTCACTTGTTCTCGTGGGGTCTTCTCGCTGACAGTATGCTCCTTCTCACCGACTCGACACTGTGGTAGTGTACATCTAATCTGACTAAATGAAAACCTAATTTATGTCTGTTTCATTATTTTTGGTACCTTGGAAACCCAACCGTCTTCTCAGTCTGTTTACAGGACACCCGTCAACGTGTCTCCTATCGAAACGCACCACACTAGCATGCATGCCAGCAAAAGCTACATTTGCTCTACCAGTGCCAAACCACACATTGTTCTAAAAAGGTCCGGTGTGGGCCCTAATAGTCCCGTCTTTCCTTTTCTATGCAGGACCCTTGATGTCCAGCCAAACCGAGTCACGGTTGGAGGCATCAGGCTGCTGGAGCCCATCCTGCAGCGGAGGGGACACGTGGAAAGCCACGACTTTGTCGGCTGCATCATGGAGTTTGCCGTCAACGGGAGGCCCCTGGAGCCCAGCCAAGCCCTGGCGGCACAAGGCATCCTGGACCAGTACGGCAGTCGCGATTCTTACTGTTTTAAAGAAAAGCAAATGCCCCACAAACGTCCTGAAGCAGTACCTGAGCATCATAAAATCACTGTGCTCGAATCCCTAGAAATACCAAATATTTTAAATTGTTTTGAATTTCATTTTTTGATGTTTTTAAAAACGTTTATTTCAATAGCTTTAGAGGCTACAAAAGTTTTTGGTTACATGGCTACATGGTGTAGTAGCAAAGAAGTCCGAGCTTTAAGTGTATCAAGTGTGATACTTAACTAGAAAAAACTTGAAAATAGTCTTCACTTAAAATATGTTGTGAACATATTTTTAGGTCAAAACCTCCTTGACTGAAAATCAGAGACCTGCCCTTCCTCCTGTCTTTCTGTCAGACCCTGCATCCAACCCCCCAGCAGCAGAAGGACATTTGAAAGGCCAGCCAGGTCTTGTCACCACAGGGCTTCGAGTGGCCCCAGCGGCCTCCCTCCAGCTCAGAGCGAAAGCCGGAGGCCTCACCCTTCCCGTCCTCCTCCCTTCCCCTGGTGCACTCACCTCCCCTGAGCGGAGCCTCGTGGTGTTGCTCAGATGCACCAGTGGGCTTTCCCTCCAGGGCTTTCCCTCCAGGGCTTTCTTGCTTGCTGCCTCTCCTGCCTGGCATGGTCTTCTACCGTGGTGCTTTGCTCCCTGGCTTCATTCCGTTCTTACCAAAGAAGAGGCCCTCCATCCTGCCTGCCCTGAAGCTCCAGTAAACCCCACGCTTCTGTGCCCTTTCTGTCTTAGCTTCCCCATGGAACAGCCCTCGCCCTAAAATACACGTGTCCCTTTAAATACTCTTTTTCCTTACTGTCTGCCTCACAGGGAAAGCAGATTCCCGGAGGCTGGGCGGCTGTGTGTCCCATCGCTTTGCCTCCACCCTTAGAACAGTGCTGGGCATGGGGTCGGCACTCCATGAACGTTAGCTGCAGAGACGCCTGGCAGAGATGAGTGGAATAAACACGTGGCCCCTGGTCACACTTGCTTAAGCGAGTGTTCATGCGACCCAGGCGCCTTAAATGGGAGCTCACCTGAAGGAGAAATGGTCGCCCTTTTGCTGTATTGTGTGAGATGCTTGTATTTCCTCTTCCTCGGTGGGAGGCAGACCGGGTGTGAGAGCTCTGACTTTTGGTTCAGTGAGTTTTTCCAAATGCACTTGTAGCCTGAGCTTCAGATAAAGGAGTGCTTGAAAGGAAACTGGTTCCGAGGGGCTCCATCCCCCCTTACCAGCTCCCTCCACTATGCGCTTTAAGGCTCTTTGCTGGGATTCTGTTTCAGGTGCCCGAGACTGGAAGGCGCTTGTACCCACAGCCCCTGCCAGCATGGCGGCACTTGCGTGGACCACTGGTCATGGCAGCAGTGTCACTGCAGAGAGGGCCTGACGGGGAGATACTGCGAGAAATGTGCGTGAGTTGGAATTGCTGCTGGGGAGTATAACAACGAAACGTTCCCCTGAAAATATAAATATGCAATTGGAAGTCTCAAAACACGTGCATGCTTTCGTTATGAATGCTGAAACGGGTAAAAATACAGTGACATTTTAAAGGTGATCTTTTAACATGAAGAAAGTCTTCATGTTTAAATAATTACTAATTAGACCTTCGGCATTCATCTTATAAATATATCATCCAGTTACTTTTGTTTTACCTACTGGAAGTTTGGCAAATTAATAGATCAGGGATTGTATTCAGGCTTTAGTTTCACAGTGTCGCCTTTGGGGGATATTTTTCTGGTGAACTTTTTGTGTTTGGTAAAAAAGCGTAGATGCCAAGTCACTAAATGCTGTGCTGAGCTCAAAACATTATACAGTAGCCATATAATGGACTAAGATTAAGGCTGATACTTTCATCTTAATTTGCAAGTCCTTGAATTAGTTCTGAATATTACTTTTAAAGTTCTTTCATCTTTTAAGCCCTAATGTTATTGTCAATAAGACGGTAGTGATGTTCAAGCCATCATTAGAAAATGATGTTCTCTCATTTCAAGCCGAACATCCCACTAACTCACTCTAATGAGGCCTCTTTTATAACCATTGCTTCATTTTCAAATAAGTGGTTACTGCTTAAATCAGTTGCGGAAATCAGGCCACTTTTAAAGAAGCCATTTGGTTCAGTTATGGAAATGAGTAGAAATGCTTAATGAAATTTAGGGTAGAATATAACCTACAAGATCTTAGTGGCAGAAAGTATAATTGTGTGTAATTATTTCAGATATAATGAAAACACAGAAGTATTTTGTCATATGATTTTTTTCAAAGTAATGAGTATTTAGCAAGCAGGAATCTAATTATATCTGAAATATGAGAGGAGTGATCAGCTAGAGAAATGCCTAGGACTCTTTTTCTTAAATCAAGATACAATTCATATACTGGAAAATTCATCCTTTCAAAAGTGTGTCTGTCGGGGCTGACATACTTTTGAGTTCCTTTTCTTTATGTCTTTTCTTCAGCTATACTATTTGTTACTATGACTTAAAATGTAGGGTGTGAACTTTTTTTTAGATTATGATAAATTGTAATTATGCATGCTGATTACATGTGGTGATCACTGCAAACAGAATTAGTTACACATATAAATATTTGATTGTACACCTTTTTGCCTAAATTTCTAACATGTTGAGACTAATGATCACAAATCATTCCAACTATGAAAACATATATTTATTTATGAATTTTGGAAATATCTTGAAAATGGTTACACATTTTTTAGGTGCTCATTTCCAGCAGGTGCCTATGTCTTCAGATAGTCATAATTTATATCACGTGGCAAAGACAGAGGGTGCCAAAAATGTACAAAAATTTTAAGAAAGGAAAAAACTCTATTAAAAATCATATATACCAATAACAAAAGATGAATACAAGTCATGTTTGACTTCTGCAATTGCAAGAGGCACTTAAAGTAGTTACCATCAGTGTCCAGACACTTCTGATTACAGTGACTGAAAATAATACATAGATCATGTCTCTTAATATATGTATGCATTTTTTGGCACCCTGGTACGTTAGTGAATATTTCCCCAAATGATTAACGACTGCCCTAAAGTGTTTTACATACCAAGGTTCTGAAATGAATTTAAGCATTCAAAATCAACTTTATAACTATTCACAAATGGAAATTATTTTTTCAAGAGTAGAGTTGGGGGATGTTAATTCCCAAAACATAGTATTTTCATTGTCCTGTTTTGTATTTTTGTCACCGTAGAACACTCTCTCAGAAATGCCTAACGGACGCATTCACTTTTTTCCCCTTGGGCTTTCAGCTGTCACTCCTGACACTGCCTTGTCATTGGAAGGGAGAGGGCGCTTGGACTACCACATGAGCCAGAATGAGAAGCGAGAGTATTTGCTGAGACAGAGTATCCGAGGTGCCATGTTGGAGCCTTTTGGTGTGAACAGTCTGGAAGTAAAATTCAGGACGAGAAGCGAGAATGGCATTTTAATCCATATCCAGGAAAGCAGCAATTATACGACTGTGAAGGTGAGATAAAGCGAATGGTGACTTCATTTGGCGAGACCGCCTGCGGTGTCGGGGTTTAACTCAAGTCTCCCATCATTTCTGTCCTTTTCTTTACACCCGCTTGAGTCCCCACTGAGGCTGGGCACTATTCCAATGCCTTCTATCTTAACTCGTCCCCAGGCTTTGGCCAGGGTAACAAACATCTGAAAGGCTGGGTTTCTAAACACCTTTGTCTTGGTGGGCCCCCACAGAAGGAATTATTTGCACTCTTTTTTGCTGACAAAAATCCATATTGATTTCTCTTGTACCTTTAAACAAAGGGGAACAAAAACATAATGTGCCTTTGAAAAGAATCATTTCAAGTATTGATATGGATATGCAAATTGGCAGGATTAGAGTAAGGACATATTTTGAAACCCTCTGACTTCATTCCAGAGCATATATTTAATTCACTAGGTCAACTCTGGGATGTTAAACATAGTTGGAATTTATCGTAATTACAGTTTTATCTAACCTCTCCAAATAATTAAAGAAAATAATCTTTAAAATTACATTTCATGAGAACAATGGATCGAACTGTCATTAGTCTCTTGCATAAATTTTTTATTTTTGCTAAATTTGTGCACAGTTAAATGTCATTAGATATGCATTTTCCATCAGCTTTTAGCTTTCTGATATTTTTAAACTATTATTCTGCTTCCTTTCTCATAAATATGTCATCATCTCTTAGACCAACAATTTCTTCAGTTTATGTTGAATACTTTCCATTACTATTATTTTGTATAATGCTACTGATAGTTTTCATATAAGTTTTAGTAAATTCTTAAGAAGACAAGCCCAGATTTCTGAATTATTTTCACCTACAAATCAATATTTGGTCATTACTAAAAGGTTATTTCCTAAAGAAAATGAGCACTATGTATAGAAAATTATTGTTTTTCACATATAATATGAAAAGTTAAAATAATTGTTCAACTCAATTTGAACTTTTTTATCCTCAAAATTTCTCTGTCTGAACCAACTCTCGTTGTTAGGTTGCATGCACATTTCTTTAATAGGCAGTACAAAAACCATTATTTTTTAAATTCTCAAGTTATGATCCTCCTAGTCCAGTCACTCCTGACTGGGGATGACCTTGCCTTCCAGGAGACACATGGCAGTGTCTGGAGATGTTTTCGATGTTCACCTATGGGACCGGGTGTCTAGTGGGTGTCAGGAATGCTGCTTGGCATCCCAGTGTGCAACCCAGCACCCATACCAGGAGGCTGTCTGGTCCCAGATGTCATTAGTGCTGACTGGAGATACTCCACTTGATCACCCACCCCACCCCCCTGCAAAGAACATCTTCAGTTGTAACTTTCCCTCTGTTACTGACACAAAAGACCCAGCTCCAGTATTAACAAAGCGACTGCAAGACAGAATACACAGGCCATGGTATGATGCTGCTGTAGGGTGCTTAACATTTTCATTGAAAAGTCATTAAAAGTCAAGAGAGAAGCAGGCGTTCGTTTTCTACAAGAAACAAATTTAAGTTTTAAGAGGCTATGACATTGAGGCCCGAGCATTATTATCTGTTAAGCTGCTTCCAAGTCCTCATGCCATTTGAATGACACGGGAAATATTTCTGGAGGTTATCTCTGAAAGCCAAGGAATTCAGTCAAAACACAATGTGGTTGAAAAAAAGAGACCATTTTTCTTTCATCCCTGAGGAAGAAGCTGAACGTCGGAATGCGTTTTGTCACATAAATTCTTGCATTTCCAACAGGACAGCAGCAGACAACTTCTCCCGAGATTATTCCTTTGGAATCAAGCACTTAGATTTTTTGTTTCCTGAAAGGAAAGTAAGTGTTAATTGATAAAAATGATGACTAATGCAGACCAAAATGCAGTTTTTGTCTGAATATTTTGAAAAGCAGCCACTCAGAGAGTAAGGGTCTTGGCAGGTAGAGGGAGAAGACAAGAAAAAACAAAAACAGTGCAGAAGAACTGAGTCGACTTGAAGAGAGTGGCCATGGTAAGCAGGCCAATTAGACGGATGACAGGGATGGGTCTGCTGACAGGCAGGAAGCTGGTGAAAATGGGCATTCCTTATCAGTTCGCTTGCCAGTGACCAAGGCTCCTGGGTTTCTTCTTTCTTTCTTCTGGCTGACTTTGCCACCTTCCTTTCTCTTCCTTATGTTTTGTATGCCCTGAGTCAATCAACCCCCCCCATACACACACACCCCCACACATGTGAAAGCACCACAAGATGAAGAGACTTTTTGAAAAATGAGAGAGAGTGTTGGGTTACGGGTCTGTATCGTTTAGAGAAGAGAGAGGTGCCTGGAGTGGGAAGCAGGGCAGTGTGAGGAGAGAGAAGGGTAGATTGTGAGGAGAGAGTAGAGTGAATCTTTCAGAGAAAGAAAGAAAAGTAAGAAAATAACATGTCAGAGAGACAGGCAAAAGGAGAGCATACTAGTGCATAACTTTGCTGACGTGATGTTTAAAGTGTTTCACAAGTGTCTTCACTCATAGCATACTATGTAGCCCCATGTGTGGTGCACTGTCATAATAGTAAGGTAATGGGCTTTATTTCTCCTGTAAATCAGTTCTATTGTTTTGTGTTTGTTTAACTGAGGCTGCATACATGTACAGAATTGGAATAAGGGGTTCAGATCACCACAGATTCAAAAATAAGTGAACTAAGAAATACAGTCTTGTGTTGCTTCCCAACATGGACACCTTCTGATAAATGTATCGTTAAGTGATTTCATCCTTGTACAAGCATCGTGGCGTACTTACACAAACCTAGATGGTGTAGCCTACTGCACATCTGGGCTGCATGGTAGAGCCTGTCACTCTTAGGCTGCACACCTGTACAGCACGTGACTGTACTGAAGACCATGGGCAGTTGTAAGCCAACTGGCAGTATCTGCGTATCCAAGTATATCTAAACAGAAAAGGGACCACAAAAAGATGACATAAAAGATTGAAGGATGGTACTTGCCATGGATGGAGCTTGCAGGCCTGGAAGTTGCTGCGGGTGAGCCAGCGAGTGATGGAGAACGAACGCAACGCTCCGGGATGTTCACTGCCACTCCCGGGGACTCTCTAAGCCCTGTACACTTAGGCTGTACTCAGTGGCTGAAATCCATTTTCATCATTGAAATGACATTCGTTTACTGTAACTTTTTAGCTCATGTGTTTTCTAGTTTTTTTTAACTTTGGACTCTTTTGTGATAACATGTAGTGTCAACACACATTGTACAGCTTTTTAAAATATATATTATCTCTCTATATCTATATTGTAAGGTTTTTTCCACTTTGAACATTTTTAAATTCTCGTTTAACCGCAAACTTGTGAGAAAAGCTAAGACGCAAACACACACACACAGCAGCTGAGGCCCAGCCGGGGTGAGGATCGTCCGCATTGCTGTCTTCCACATCCAACCCACTGGAAGGTCTTCGGGAGCAATCACACGCACGGAGCTGTCATCTTCCTGGGACAACTGTGCCTGCTTCAGGAATGCCTCCTGCAGGGCCCGCCGGTGGCTGTTCACAGTTAACTTTTTTATACATGTGTAGAACAAAGCATAGTGCAGCAAGTGCATAAGCCAGCACCATTTATTACCACTGTGAAGTGCTGTGTGCTGTGCACGACTGTGTGTGCTATACTTTTATACGGCTGGCAGCACAGTGAGTTTATGTGCACACACATCACCACAGTTACAGGCAAGGAATGCACTGTGCTATGATGTCACCCAGGCGAAACAATGTCACTCACTAGGCGATGAGGATTTTTAAGTTCATTATGATCTTATGGGACAACGGCAGTATACGTGGATTGTCACTGACTGAAATGTTCCATGGCACATGACTGTATACGAATAAATAAAACCAAGCAAAACTCGGCATGATGTTTTGAAAGTTAGGGAGAATGTAAGTGTAAGTAGAGAATTATTGGGACAAGAACGCCATAGAGAATAATGTTCTTACCCCCCTGGGTGGTTCTGTTCCAAGTGCTGTTGCATCAAAAATTTATCGAATGGAAGGATGACAAGGTGAGATTAAGTAGGAGAGAAACAGAGATGGGAGGAGGCCCTTCCCAATGCTTCTTTCAAAAAGGACTCTGACTGCAACAAAAACAGTTGCTGATTTTACTGCATGTCATGAGATGTTGCCCATTTGACAAAATGTTATTGTCATTTAACTGGAATGTTTTTTTTCCCTATCTGAGTTTGGTACCAAAATGTATTATTATCTGGAAAGACTTCTTTAATAAAGCATCGCTATATGAGTAACTTACGTAAATGTGCGAGGCACATTTTCCATGAAGTACAAATGAACTGATTTTTAGTTCTACCAGATGTGTTTGTTGCCTGTAGAAATAGCATTTGATCTGAGTGACAAAATAAACGGACCCATCCTTCCATCCCCATTATTTGAGGCACAGTGCCACCTCCTGCCTGCACCAAGACACCAGCTCTGTCTGGCAGGAGTGCCGGGCCTAGACTTCCTGAACCACACAGACATCTTGCCTCATAAATTATTTCGTTTTCTGAAGAACGCTGGAAACCTGGTAGCTGGAAACTGGAGTAGGCGCTTCCTGTTACCCTCTTCTGTTGGGTGGAGGAAAAGAAACCAAACGTCCCCTGGATAAATTGCGAAAGACGGTGAAGCAAAGACTTGCCCGGATGCCTTATTAGTGAGAATTCACCCTCTGGACGTCATCGTATTTTAACTCAGTAAATGATACATATAGGCATCACTTTTTCCTAAAATTCCAGTGGGTATTAGATGAGAGGTAAAACTATTTATTTTTGTCTTTATTTTGCAACTATGCTTTCTTTTTTGCTAAGCGTTCATTTTTTTCTTTGCAGGTGGTTTTCACTTTTTGATTACTATGGACCTTTTACTAAACTGACCAATACAATACTCTTGCAACTGCCACTGAGATATAAGTCATATCCCAAAAAGGTGTCACTTACTTATCTTAAAATGGGTTTTCACTCTCTTATTATCTCAGTTGTGTTCTGGAGAGTAGTTTGATGTATCTTGAAACATGACTTGTAAGTATAAGAATACCTTGAAAACCCTCGGAAATACTAAATGCGGAAGTTTATGACACTTAAAATTGCAGAGACCAGATGTCGAGCCTCTTCTAATATGACCCGATTCTCCAGCTAGTTCACCGGCTTTAGACTGATCAAAATTTTAAGGCTTAGTTTCATCCATGATTTTTAAGCATACCATATTTTGACTGTCTATTGAATTTGGTGCATTTTACAGATTAAAAATGGCAAAGTGCATTTCACGTCAGATGCAGGAATCGCTGGGAAGGTGGAGAGGAACATTCCAGAAGTGTACGTCGCCGACGGCCACTGGCACACTTTCCTAATTGGGAGAAATGGAACAGCCACAGTGCTGTCCATTGACAGAATATACAGCAGAGATATCGTCCACCCGACCCAGGACTTCGGAGGCCTTGATGTGCTGACTATCTCTCTCGGAGGCATTCCGCCCAGCCAGGCTCATCGAGACGCTCAGACAGGTAAACGCTTACCCTGCGTGGAGTCGCGGGGAGGGCAACATTGTTCCTCAGAAAGTAACAGGTTTGCGTGGCGAGAGCAGCTAAGATCTAATCATCTACCATCCCATAGGACGATTTTATTACAATAAAATTTGTTTTTAAAAAGTTGTTGGTCTGGGTGGGGTGGCTCATGCTTGTTATCCTACTTTGGGAGGCCGCGGTGGGAGGACTGTTTGAGCCCAGGGGTTCAAAAGCAGCCTAGGCAACATAGAGTCCATCTCTCCAAAAAATCAAAAAATTAGCTGGGCATGGTGACACACGCCTGTAGCCCCAGCTCCTAGGGAGGCTGAGGTAGAAGGATGTCTGAGCCCAGGAGAAAGAGGGTTGAGACTGCAGTGAGCTGTGGGTGTGCCACTGCACTCCAGCCCGGGCAACACAGGAAAACAAAAAAACTCCAAAAAAATACAGGGAGTTGGATATCTGATAACATTAATCGCAAACATCCTAAGCCTATCATAGCTCTCTTGAGGACGGTTGCAGTAGCTTGTCAGCGGTCACTTCTTCGAGTCTTACTAACTCGGCCCTCCACAACGGTCATTCGGCTGCCGGGGCCCTGCTGCTTGGCTTGTCCCCCAAGCATTGTTGTCCCTCACACGTTTGTTGATTTATTCACTTATTGATTCATTCAGCGCCACTGTCTTCAGGGAACGGGTGGTCCGCGAAGGGAGGCCGTCACTCATGGAACGCTTGCTTACACACCGAGCGTGATTTGAATTAATTCGTGGTCAGTGTCGTGAAGGAAGGACGTCGCG